AGAAGAACCCGTCCAGAGGACCTATACAATTTTTTTTCCTTTAAACCCCTAAACTGTTTAATATTGTCACATTTTCATTAATAAATGTATTTTTCTGTCTAACCTGATTATTTCTGATTGTTTTAGGTCCATATTCTTGCAGAAATGTAMATTTAAATTGTCTCCAAAGCATTTTGAGACTCTCTTTTACTTTGACCTTAAATCAGACAATCTTTTTCTTCCAGCCARGTGTTCAGAGTTCACTTTGTCCTTCAGATGCCGACGGGAAGCTGCTGTAAATCTGGGCGTGTGTTTAAAGCAACAACAACCTCACCTGTCCACAGGTGAGGTGAGGGACAACCCYGTCCCTTTGTAGATCAGAAGCTGCGGCTCCGTCTTTTGTGTGTTAACCCCGTTTTAGCCTCGAATAGCTTTGTGCGACCGTTCAGAGCTGACAACAGGAGAAAGAAGACACTGAACTGGATGTTCTCAGATTATTTTCTTATCATGACACAAATGAGGACGAACATTTGAGACTTTTACAGCAAACAGTGAGTACGATAAATATTTATGAAAGAATTAATGATTMTTTAGCGTGTCTGTTTCCTGTAATGTTTGACCACCAGGCAGCTCAGAATGCGCTCTGAGCTACATTTAATATTTAAATTCACACATTATGTCCTCCTGCAATTTTAGACTGAACCGCTTTTGTGTTTACATATTTCTGTTTTATGACACACATCGTTTTATGTTAAGATTTATATCAAATGAGATACTTTTAAGATGTGTTGACTGTTAATACAAAACTGACTGCAGGATCTCTGGAATAATTTCATTTATAACTTTATTTCCAACATTCATCCCCTTTTTTTTGCACACAACAACAGAAACATCTGACATTGTCCACAAAACGTTAAAACATAGTGTTTCTATCATTATTATCTTTATTAGTATTATTTTGTAAATGTCATCTTGTAAAACCTGCAGCTTTAAAGCTTAAAACTTCAACATTGACTTCAGATTAAACAATGACAGGTCGATAAATTCTAATTTATGTACAGAATTTACAGTATAGTTTTGAATTTCTGGTTAATTTTTATATATTCACACCRCTAATTTAGCAGAGAAAACACTAAGTGTTCAGGTTGAGGCAGGTAGATTTGTGGGATGTTGTTACGTCACAGCCTGCTTCTTATTTTTTATTTATTTTATAGTTAAGCTTCATTTTTTAGGGCAGGAAGCTTATAAAATCTTTAAAATATTTTTGTAATAGTAGATAAACAGTCATAAAGACACATTATTATGTCTTTATCATTTCTAAATGTAGAAAAAAGTATTTCTCAGCTTGTAACAACCTAAAATGTTGCACACAATTTAGTTAATTGTCCTCACTTGTTTCTCCCTGCCGACCTAATCATTGATTTCAGTCACCCATGTTAGTCAGTGACTCTCCATATAAGAGCCATCCACACACTCTGCTTGTGTGTTCGTTTCACTCTGGTCACAACCAAGTGCACAGCAGCCTTCCAGTACCTGCTGCTGCGTTATCTTTAAAGTTTAGTTAAGAGGAGTTGAATCCCTCTGTCTGAAGTCTTCTGGAACCGACGCCCAAAAAGCTTCGTCCACAGCAGTTACCTTTCAACCAACAAATAAACCATCAACCTAAAAAACACACCAGTTTCTCTTAACACACTCAACTCAAAAAACTCCTGGAAAGTGGAGTTTTTTTGTGTGTATGTGTATTTTTGTTATGAGGTGTTTTTTTTTTTTGTGGAAGTGTTTTTGTTTTGCCAAGTTTAATCTTGATTAAGCATTTTTTAAATAAAGTCAAGACAACCTCTTGCTCTGGAGGAAAAGACTTCATCGTTTGCTTATAAACCAAGATAACTTGTAACTTCCTACTTGGCCAAGTTGGAAACTTAAAATTTCTGGACTCTATAGTGGTTTTAACACCATTTATGAACACTGGGATGGAGTAAGGGAACTTTGTGTTTTGTATTGTTTGTTTTTTAATTGATTTTGTTTGTTCTATTTTTTTGTTGTAAATCATATATGTGACCCATCACATCGAAACGAGGTTTGAGTCCAAAAGTTGTATATGGAGAAAAAGGCAAATATAGTGTTTTGACTAAAAT